CGTTTACTCTTTCAAGGAGATAGGGGTGTCCGAGACAAGCTCACTGTCTGGTGGGGATTAAAGACACACCCAGAGCTGGAGGGTGTCACATGTTGAGGTGGAACAGAGAAGAGGCCATTAATTGGGAAAGAAGGAAAGGCATTCCAGGAGGAGGGAACAGCAGGTGCAAAAGCCATGTGGTGTGAAAGTACGTGTATTTATTCCTCTTCCCTTTTCTCTCCCTCTGTTCCCACCTCGGTCACAGTACATCCCCCTGCGGGCCTGGCTGTACCGGGATGGCTTTGCCCGCTTCTCCAACACCCGCTTCACGCTCAACAGCATCGATGACCAGTGTATCCTGGGATCCCACCTCCCCACCCCCACGCACTCTGCCCCTCCCGTCCTCTGGCTGGTCCTGAGAGAGCTCATCCACTCCACAGATGTTTGCCGAGCACCTACTGAATGCCAAGTTCTGGTCTGAGCACAGGAGATACAGCAGTGAACAAGGCAGACCTAGTCCCTTCCCTCTGGGAGCTTGCAGTCTTGTGGGGGTAGGGGACTCCCAAGAGACCCGAGGAAAGCATCCCTGCTCTGCTCAGATTAACTTACCCCAAACTGCTCTGCTTGATTATCATCTGGGGGTGTGTCTAACACTCACTTTGATTCATATTCATGGGATGGGATAGTTTGAGCCCCTTTGGAGAACGTCTGCATCCTTTTATGTGCTTTTCTTCAGTGCCTAGTCATTGGCTCACTCATTTGCTCAAACACAATGCCATTTTCACCCACCAGATTGGCAGGGATCAAAAACTTGATAAGACACTGTGTTGGCAAGGCTGGGGGAACACATACGTTGCTGGTGGGAGTGTAAATTGGTACTTCTTAGGAGGCAATTAAGACAGAAATGCATATTCTCTCTGACCCAGCAATTCTTCTTCTGGAGTTTCTCCTGCAATGTAGGAAAAAGGAGGTTTGAAGGTTATTCACTGCACAGCCTTGTTTGTGAGAGAGGGAAAAAAGGAAACAAGTAACTGAATGACTCATTTACACAATGGAATACTATGTAGCTGTTAAAAAGGAATGGAGGAAGTGCTTTATGTGCTGATATGAAACAATCTCCAAGATGTATTGGTAATTGGGAGAAAAAAACACAAAATATAGAACTCTGTGAAAAGTATACCCCATTTCATGTTAAAAATGATATCTCTACATAT